TCTCTCTCTCTCTCTCTCTCTCTCTCTCTCTCTCTCTCTCTCTCTCTCTCTCTCTCTCTCTCTGTGTGTGTGTGTGTCTCGGGCGTGCGCTCTCTGTGTGTCTCGGGCGCGCCCGCTCCCTCTCTCTCTCTCTCTCTCTCTCTCTCTCTCATTTGAAGGTGGTGCTGCACAAAGGAAGACCCACCCCCCTCCATCATCAGGAATCTCGCCTTTGATTTGGCCAAACTAACTGCCATCACCATCAATGTTTCTCATTGAAAAGGTAGCGTGGGCCATCATTACTGCCATAGCATATCTGCTTATGCTGCACAGATAAAGCCTGTTCTTTCTGCGTGTCGTCTCTACCTATCAACTCTATGGGACTCCGCTCATCAGAGTGATGTTGATGTACATTGCACGCAGCATTTCTCATCCTCAGGCCGTTGGAAAGATGATTGCATCTGTTCGAAGTCCGAACCGGCACACACATGTAGCTCTAAGTTCACCACTCTCCGATCAAGATACCCCTCATCTAGTAATTGCAAAGAAGAAAATTTGTGCCATCCACAGGCTCTTCCGTTCAAAACTTCGGTTCGAACCGGCACACTGCGGCTTCATCCTCTGTTTGTTGGCTCGTCCTTTTCAAAATGTACGTCCAAACTTCAAAGTTCGGACCGATCCCGTAACAAAGTCCAGAGTCCACATGAAACGCCAAACTCGGTTACTACTTCGTTGAAAACGTGTGTTCTTTTCTTCAGAATTACAACTTCAATGTGATCTTCAGTTGATTGTGAGTGCAGCCATGTAAGTAAAGGAACAACAACAGAGTTACTGCACTGTGCGAATGTACAAATACCTCCTTTCCATTGCAAAGCCGACAAGAAGAGCTGTCCGGGGATGACAGTGCAGGCTCTGATGCTCCAACCACCAAGTTCACGGTGCTTTCCATTGTCATGATAGTGGACACAGTCCGACAGACAGATTACCGTGCAAATGTATAAACCTGCTCTTCATGCGAATGTAGTACTCGAACCGGCAGAGTGCGCCTCGCGACGGAAAGAGAGTACCGCGCAAATGTATAAACATCCTCTTCTGAATCATTGAAAGGCGCAGACAAAATGCCATCCGTCGGTCACTCCGCAGGCTCTGATGATGTTATACCAACCACCACGTCCACAGCGCTTTCAATCGTCATGATATTGGACGGACAAATCACATCTGTTCAAACCGGAAGATTGCACCCTGCCTGAGGTTCTCTGATGTACCAACCACCACTTCTTCCACAGCGCTTTCCATCGTGAAGTTCGAGATATTGAAGTTAATAATTGAACAAAAACTTGAAAAAACAGATTACATCTGTTCGGACCGTCAGAGTGCGCTCGCCTCAGATTTACGTTGTCCCGAACCTTGATGATTACTCAGAAAACCTCCTGTGGAATTCAGAGAAGCTGCCAGATCCCATATCCTCTCAGATCTCATCCCAAAGGACCCAACTTCCACACTCCTGCCAGTTTCTTGAAGGTCTGCCCCTCATGTGTGAGGATTTGAACCCGCGATCTGTTAATGAACAGCTACTTGCTGACATCGTTCAGCTGCTTGTGCATGGTCATTCGCATTGACACCAGCATTGTAGAAGCAACTCATTCCTTCACACTTCCATTTGCTATGTGCTTGGAAAGCACAGAGAGAGAGAGAGAGAGAGAGAGAGAGAGAGAGAGAGAGAGAGAGAGAGAGAGAGAGAGAGAGAGAGAGAGAG